CACACACACACACACCGTAAATATCACACACACACACCACACCCTATACTAGCCGTCCTCACAATTCACACACGCATTCGCCCCACGCCGCTACCCTCAGCACACACACCCCACCCCCGCCTCGCCGCCGGCTGCCACCCCCCGCCCGCAGTCACCCTGGCCAAGTCTGTGAAGAACGACGCTGAGCTGGCGGGGCTGCGGGAAGCGCACTTGCGCGACGGCGTGGCGCTCACCCAGTTCCTGTGCTGGGTGGAGAAGGAGGTGGCGGGAGGTGGGTGGGCACAGGCTGCCTATAGCCTGCCCGGCCCTACCTGCCGCGTGGTGGCTGCTGGGGCTGGGGAGCGCCCTGGCGGCGGCCTGGGCCGGCCGGTGTGTGCCGCCGCCCCGCCTCTGCCCCGTGCCTGCTGTCATCAGCCTCTTATCAGCCGTGTACTACCCCGTGCTGCCCCTTCGATGTCTTGCATTTCCCTGACCTCCTGCCAGGCCGCGTGCTGACGGAGGTGGAGATTGACGAGGAGCTGACGGCGAGGCGTGCGGCGCAGCCCGGCTTTGTGGAGCCATCCTTCCCGACGATCGCGGGTGAGGCGGGCCCGCAGGCCCAGCCAGCCGCCCCCGCCAGGCCGCGCATGCCATGCTGCGGCGCGGAGGAGCCCTGCTGGTCACTCCGCCATGCAGCAGCAGAGCCCGCTGCGTGGTGCTTGTTGCTTGTTGCTTGTTGCTCTGGGCGGCGGCACCACCATGAACCTCACCCCACCTTCCTGCCCATCCAACCTCACCCTCAGCCTACCCTGCCCTGCCCTGCTTCCTCACCTGCCTGCCACCTCCTTGCCCTCGCCTTCTCCTCGACTCCCCTCTTACCCCCTGTCTCCTCGCCGCTTCCCCGGCGCTCCTCACGACTCACGACCCGCCACCCCACCTCCTACCTTCTCCCCCGCCCCCTCCCTATCCTCTTCCCACAGGCGCCGGCCCCAACGGTGCCGTCATCCACTACCGCGCCCAGCCCGGCACCTGCCGCGCCGTGGACGCCTCCACCCTGCTCCTGCTGGACAGCGGCGCCCAGTTTGACTGCGGTACCACCGACATCACCCGCACCATGCACTTTGGCAGCCCCACACCACACCAGAAGGCCTGCTTCACCGCGGTACTGCAGGTGCGGTACTGCAGGGCTACGGAGTGGGGCCTGGGCTGGCTGCCTGCAGGAGCAGCCCGTGGGGCCGGTGCCCTGCTGTTCGCGCCCCGGCGCAGAGATCTGGCCGCCACACATCTGGCCGGCAGCAGAGTTCTGTTCGGCAGCAGAGGTCTGGCCGGCCTGACGCTCCACCGCTCGCCCACACCCCCCGAGTCGGCACCCGCTCATCCCACCCGTGGATCCCGCCGTTGCCGTACTGCCTGCTCCCTGTACCGCCACGTACCGCAGGGCCACGTCGCCCTTGACTCCGCCGTCTGGCCAGAGGGCACCCCCGGCTGCGCCATCGACGTCCTGGCCCGCACCCCGCTGTGGGCCCTGGGGCTCAACTACAGGCAGGCCTGCTGCCGGGCGGCGGCAGCTTGGTGTCGCTGGTGCTGGTGGTGTTGTGTGTGTGTGTATGTGTGGGACTGTGTGCGAGAGACTGTGTGTGTGTGACAGTGTGTGTGCCTGGCTGCTGGGTGGGTGATGGGAGGGAGAAGGGAAGCCAGGTGTGTGCACAGCCAGGCGGGGGCGATGGTTAGAGGGTGCACCGGGAGGCGCGGCCCAGCGCGCGCAGCACGGCTGCTAGCCGCCCAGCCCGCGTGCCGCCCCCCCGCTGCAGGCACGGCACCGGGCACGGCGTGGGCGCAGCGCTGAACGTGCACGAGGGGCCCCAGAGCATCAGCAGCCGCTTCTGGAACACGCAGCCGCTGCTGGAGCGCATGGTCTGCAGCAATGAGCCGGGGTACTATGAGGTGAGGTGGTACCGCTAGTGGTACTTCCGGTGGAACGGCCTGGACTACGACGGCGCCTGCATGGCCGGCAGGCGGGCTGCCCCGGCTGCAGCTCCCTGCCTGCCCTGGCCTCTCCACCCTGCCCAGTGTGGCATTGGAAGGCTCTTTCCCAGCCCCTCCCACCTCCACGCAGCACACCCTCGGCACCCAGCACACACACACACCATCCCCCGCCTCGCCCTCCCCGCTCCCCTGCCGCCCCGCAGGACGGCGCCTTTGGCATCCGCATAGAGAACCTGTTTGTAGTGGTGGAGGCGGCCACGCCGTTCCGCTTCGCGGGGCAGCCCTACTACACGTGCGAGCGCCTCACCGTGTGCCCGCTGCAGAAGAAGATGATTGCGGTGGAGCAGCTGAGCCAGGTGTGGTGTGGTGTGGTGTTGGTTGGGTGAGCGGAGCAGAGCGGCATGTGGCGAGCAGGCCGCAGGGGTTGTACCAGCAATCACGGTGTCTTTCTGCCCCCCCCCCCCAAACACACACACTGCCTCCTCACGGGCACCCCTTCTCCCTGCCCCTGTACACCCGCAGAAGGAGGTAGCCTGGGTGGATGCCTACCACCGCCAGGTATGGGAGGCGCTGGCGCCACGCCTGGAGGGGCAGGCTGAAGAGCTGGAATGGCTGCGCCAGGCCACCTCGCCGCTGTGACGCGCTGCCCCGGTAGCAGGGGACGCACGCGGGCGCGGCGCATGCCCCGACCGGCGCAGGCTGGAACAGCCGGCCGGCGCGGCAGCTGCGGCAGCGGGGCCTGGTGCGCGCGGCAGGCAGCGAGCCGGGGTGAGAGGAGAGGCCTCGCAGGCGCGCCGCTCGCCTGGGTCCAAACAGTTGCACACACTCTGGTTTTGCTCTTTCCAGAATGGCCAACTTTTCATTCCCTCGGAGCTTCCTTCCACCAATGCTTTTCCTTTCAGCCAACTGGTGAATACTGCGACTGCGCGCGTGTTGGCGAGAGGGGCAGATTGCCACGTGACCGCAGGGCAGAGCTGCTTGCCACAAGTGCAGCGAAGGCGGGTTGGAGCGAGGTGCAGGCAGCCCCACCACTCTCCGCACCCCCCCTCGTCTCCCCAACCCCAAACACCACCCGGCATATGTTCTCCGCATTTACACAACGCATGTGGAAAAAAGAAAGTCGACCATCCAAGCAAATCTGCAAAGGTATTGATCAAGAATTCAAGAGGGGAGCAGATGGGCAAAGCGTCGCCAGCGACGCTTTGCCCTGTAATAAGGGGTGAGTGTGGCAGCAGTGGGGGGCAAGGGGGACGAAATTCGAGCACCCCAGGGGCCGGGATCGTGGTGACCGGTGGCAGGCAGGCGGAGTAAATGTGCAGCGGGGAGCCAGGGGGCGCGCCCTGCCGCCGTCCGTATCGCTGACGGCGGCGGCGGCGCCGCGGCGCTGGCGCGGCGCGAGGGATTGGAGGGGCCGTAGTGCAGAATAAAGGCATAAGAACAAACTGCTC